GACTCTAGCACAAAGGGAAGAGAGAAAACTGGCAATTGTAACACTGGAGTACTACCCATGGCTTGCTTCAGTTGATCAAAGGCTTCAGTGGCAGAAGCACTCCACTCAAACTTACCTTTCCTAAGTAACTCAGTAAGTGGTTTAGCAATGATCCCATAATGCTTGACAAACTTTCTATAGTATCCAGTGAGACCCAAGAAACCCCTCAATGCCTTCACATTACTAGGGATAGGCCAGTCCATGACTCCTCTAATCTTTTCTGGATCAACTTCCACACCAGCTGCAGAAATGATGTGGCCCAAGTAGTCAATCCTAGGTTGACCAAAGCTGCACTTAGAAGCCTTGGCATAGAGCTCATGTTTCCTCAGAATAGATAGGGTGATCTGCAGATGTTCTTGGTGGAGTGTTGCAGTAGTGCTGTAGACCAAGATATCATCAAAGAAGACAAGGATGAATTCCCTCAAATGAGCTTTAAAAATCTGATTCATCAAGGCTTGAAACGTGGCTGGAGCATTAGTTAAGCCAAATGGCATCACCTTAAACTCATAATGACCTGAGGCTGTAACAAATGCAGTCTTATTGATGTCCTCCTTCTTAACTCTGATTTGGTGATAACCAGCTCTAAGGTCAATCTTTGAAAATATCTGAGCTCCATGTAATTCATCCAGTAGGTCATTTATGATAGGAATAGGGTAACCATCTTTAACTGTGATAGAGTTCAATTTCCTATAATCAATGCAAAACCTCCAAGTTCCATCTTTCTTCTTCACCAAAAGCACTGGTGAAGAGAATGGGCTGACACTAGATTGTATAATACCACTTTGCAGCATCTCATCCACCATCTTCTCAATCTCTCTTCTTTGTATATATGGATACCTATAAGGTTGCAGCTTAAAAGGAGCCATACATGCCTTAATGGTGATTGAGTGTTCAGTTCCTCTCTCAGGTGGGAGAGAGGTAGGTGTGGCAAACACATTTGCATAATCCTCTGGGATAGAGGAGAGGTAAGAAGGTGTTGTTGTGGTGCTGGGTGATCCCTCTGTACCAGAAACCATGCACACACATCCAATCATAATCTTGTTTCTACTGATGAGCCCCTCCATCTTTTCTTCTGTGATGGCTTGAATGGACACACTAGGTGCAGGACCTTGTAAGGTAATCTTTTGCCCTTGTAAATAGCCAGTCACTCTTTGCTGAGTAAAGTGAAAAGTAACTGGTTCCAATTGCCTCAACAGATCTACTCCAATGACTAGGTCACACCCTCCCCCAATTCCAAGATCCTGACCTCAGTGACAAAGGAGTACTTGCCTATTTGCCACTGAAAAGAAGAGCATTTGGCATTGCTCACAATTTTTCTACCATCTGCTACAGTAACTCTCATCAACGTTGTGGGTTCTAGGAGACACTGAACTCTTTTGGCTGTACCAGGATCAAGGAAAGTATGAGTGCTACCTGTATCTACAAGGATGGATATGGGGTGTTTATTAACCCCTCCCATGAGTTTAATGGTTTTGTCACTTACTTGACCTGCTAAAGCATACACAGAGATTTTATAGACCTCCACTTCCTCTTCCACTTCCTCTAACTCTTCCTCTCCCTCACTGATCTCCTTTCCCAAAATCATGAACAATCTCTTACACTTATGGCCATAAGTAAACTTCTCATCACAATTAAAGCACAATCCCTTCTTCTTTCTTTCTTCCCAATCCGCATTTGATAACCGTTTAACAGGTGTAGGTTTGTCTTCAATAAGAAGAGGAATCTGTTTGTTAGAAGACTCACCAAAGGTGTCTTTGAAGCTCTTAGCATGTGATGCATTCATCGATGGCTTGGGGTAACTCCTCATGCTCTTGTGCAGTTGATCCACAACTCTCTCTTGAAGTTTAGCTTGATACATAGCTTCTTTCAATGTCCTCGGTTTTAGCAATTTCACCATGCTCTTGATTTCTTCCTTCAGTCCACTAATGAAGCTGTTTATGAAATAGGATTCAGATAGTGTTCGATTCATGTTTAGCATGAATGCCTTGAGTTCCTCAAATTTGTCCCTGTACACTTCCACTGTACCCTCCTGTTTCAGTTTATTGAATGTTTCCACCACACTATCATCATTGTCTTCTCCAAAACGCTCCATCACCATGTCAACAAACCCTACCCAATCAATTGCCTCACGTCCTTCCACATAATCCGAATACCAGTGGTCGGCCTTGCCCTCCATATACATTGATGCATAGCCCACCCTCTCGTGATCTATCATCCGTGTAATAATAAAGTATTTCTGGCATTTACGCAGCCATCCACGAGGATTATCGCCATTAAATCGTGGAAAATCCAGCTTCGGAGCTCTGTGACCCCCATTTCCCCATACTGATTCTCAGTTTATCGATGCATGGGAATCGTATAGGGCACATTCCCTTCCGATCGTGCACGCGCCGTCGGCGGTGGTGGATTTGCCATGGATCCACCGCTTTGCAACTGCTCCTTTCCTCGATTCGTTGTCAACATCCGCCCTAATTCATCAAATCGTTTGAACACCTCTTCAAACTTCATATTTGTACTTTTCTGAGCTGCTGCAATCTTCTCTTCCAGATCGCCCTGCAACTCCGATCTTAGGGTTTGCTGTCCGCCGAACAAGCTCGCCACATTCTGCTCCATTGATTTCATCTGCTCGTCCATCGCCGCCAATTGCTGCTCCACTGCCTCTACCCGAGTACTGTTAACCTTTGCCATAACCAATTCGATCGTGCGTGGTTGTTAGGATCAATGCCCTGATGGCCAATTGTTACGTTTCAGATTGTGAAATTGGAAATATATTGAATGGGTGATCTCGAATGAAAAATTACAAAGGATTTAATCCCCAAAATATCTAGCATGGGGCCACATGAATTCAGCTCAGCTTCTATTTATAGATTTCAGCTGGATTTAACAAACTAACGGCTACGCCACATGTCGTCCTCTGATTGGTGAGTTTTAAACCTCCGTAGCCTCCAAAAGCGCGTTTCTCTCCTCGGGTTTCTTTAAGTGAATCTCCGTTTTCTCCCTACGACGTTGTTTCTCTCTCTCTCTCTTCTTCATGCACGTAACAGGGGGTTTGAACGAGTAAGAAAACGATTATTGAAAGACTTGTATAATTTAAAAGTCCCCTCGTTTCCTTTTTGCCTTAGTGATGTTTCTCAATTAAATTGGGGTTTGATGACACTGTGTTTAGCAAGCATACCTAAGGTAGTTCCTCGTTTTCTGTGTTAGAAAAAGCTTAATTAATTATAATAATTTATCTGCTGCTTAATCGTATTTGCAGATTGATTTTTCATTGCTTATTGATGTTCGTATAATCAACAATGAGGATTCGGGACAAGGAAACAAATCCGTTAGTTTGGTGAGTGAAGGTTCTGTACCCAATCAAATCGCTCCAGAAACATTCTTGCCTAGCAGCAGTGACAAACAGACAGTTGTTGTACCGTACTATCGATTTTCCGGGATTTACTTTGAATTAACTTGAGGATTTTGAGGTACCAAACTAACTTCGCAAGATTGAATCTTTTCATACAATTAAGATTCTGCGATTTTAAACAAAAGAGGACTAAAAACACTACATTTGCAAAGTTACTGAATGTAAAATTAATACGAGACAATCTAAAGGATTAAACTCCTAAATACACCCCCCACTTCTGCAGGTCTTAAAATCTTTATTCACATAATAGAGTTTATTATTTTCATTTGTTTGGATTATGACAGTAATTAACGTTGTTGTAGAAACCGGTGGCGCGAGCATCTGGGACGAATTCAGCGAGGCTCTAAATGCAAAGAAGGAACAGCTATCGAAGGAGAATGGTTGGGGTAGTAATGCCAAAAGGTACAAATCACCATCCACGGAAAATAACAGCTGGGGCAAGAATGTACGAAAGGTACAACCACCATCACAGGACAATAATAATAATAATCGGGATAAGCAGAGTTCAGGTGGTGGTAGATCATGGTCGTATAAAGGTCTAAGAGGCGGTGGTCTTGCCTCAACAATGGCTATGATAAGATCGAAAAAGGATGTGTGGGGTTAGAAATTAGTTTTTACTCGACCGTGTATTCGTTCGTGTTAAGCTTTTTTATGTTTCTAAGTCGAAACTTCTCTGTTTGGTTTTTTTTCTTTTTGTGGTCAAGCTTTTTGGAGTATGTAAAATGATGAATCTTTAGGTTTCTTGTAAATTGCAGAACGGGAAGCTGACGAAAATATGTAATCTTATGCTTCGTTTGGTTGGTAAGACGAGTCACGGTTAACCACAAATGAGCTCTTGTTTGGTGAATAACTTATTATGAAATTTTATCTTGACTAGTTTTATTTAGGGAATCAAACGAGCCCTAAGGATTTAATTTTAGTAGGAGTTTTTTTGGTTATCTATATATGATTAGATTGAATTAAATAAGATTCGAGTAACTCCACTAATTAATTATTTAATTAGTAAGAAGTTCGATTTTTTAGATTAGATCTATTAAATTTGTTAAATTCGGTTATTTTATATGAATTGTCTATACAACCACTTTGGGTGCTACTACATTAATAAAATAGTAACATATATTTTTATAGCGGTTTTGAATAAGTATAAATTTTCAAGAACATGTAATCAACCCCTACTATTTCGTCAATAGAATCTAATTGTGGTAACCGAACGGCCCCTTACTCAATTTTCTCGTTCTTTGTTACTCATTAAACCCTTTTATGTTTTCTCATTTATTCGTGTGTTGGTTCGGAAAAAAAAAACTCCCAAGGATACATATATAAGTCAAATTCATCCGAAGTTCCGAAGATACGTGAAACAGCTGCCAATCGGGATCTCCAGCATTCGTCCATGGTCAAACGGTCTAATTCAAGACTAGTGACTGTACTACATATATCAAGCTAAACTACTCAAGAATCAGAAACTAGTAGTAGTAGCCAGCATTTTATTTATCAAATCACATCCTATTTTCATCACAATTTCTGTGTTCAACAGGAAATTAAAGCTGGATTGTAGGTGATCTTAATCTCTTCAATTCAAGAATATTACACGTATACGGGAAAAAAAGAGTTTAGAAACTGCGAAGTAACAAAACGGCAGTTAATATTCCTTTGCAGAAAGGCGCTGAGTCCCGATCCACTCTTCGTTCGGATACAAAGTGATTTCAGTCTCCACAGCAGCTGCCTCAACACAAACCATCTGCTTATACTCTTGATCTCCTAAATCAGCTATTGAACTTGCATCAACTTCCCATGGATTCCACACAACTACAAAACAAAAAAATATATAATTATATATATATATAATGCACGTTTTATTAAATAATTCGTTGCATATAAATACGACACTATCAAGTATATATATAAAAAAAACCTTACCAATTTCAGGAAGAGTTGCATCTTTGTGAATGGTAATAGTTCTTCTAAGTTCAACGTCCCTAATACAGATCTCATGAGGAGTGTTCAGATATACCCTGTCCAACTAAAACCGATATTAAAGTCAGGTTCATCAAAAGATTATAGCTAATTAATTACACAAACATAATAATTTATTAAACTTAGGTAATTAAAATACATCTTTATATTTATATATATACTTCGTCTCCAAAAGTGATTGCATCAGCCTCGTCAGTGAATTGATTGTGATCCTTCAGGTAGTCCCGATAATCCAACCCCTGCAATCCTTCAATCTGAGTTGCACTGGAAAATGGATTATTAATTTAGTTAATTCACTGTTGCTATTATATATTTAAAAAAAACATTAATATAATAATGTCATTAGTATATATTACCGGATATTTGAGACGGAGAAGTAGGAGTGGTAGGCGAATTTGAAAGTGAAAGGCTCCCCATTAGTGTTGACGTTTTTTACACGAGTTGTCATAGTCAGATCTCCGGTGGGTCCCAGGTTAACACGTAAACGGAGCACAAATCTGAAACATTAATTAAAACAGAGGAAATATATATAATTTGGATTTTGATATAGTTGTATATATATATCAAAATTATTAATTAAAGATTAATTGTGAAGTACTTATGATTAGGCCAGTCTTGGAAGTCGTCCGGTTTATGTCTGAGAACAAGATCAACGTATGCCTTATCGGGTGTTGGAGGGTAAAAGGCTGTATCAGGTGAAAAAATCCACTCTGCGATTCTAGCAAATCCATGTCCCTCCATGTTTTCTTCGTCGAAAAACTGATCATGCATGATTAATTATACAACAGTTTATATATGAAACTGAATAAACGAATAAAAAAATTAACCTTTGGGAAGCAAATTGGGATGCCTCCACGAATCGGGTGTGGAGGTCCGTAAACGGCCTGGAAATTAAATAAAAATATGTTATTCGTTATCATTTACGAGAGTACTAAAGAAGAAAACATCGATCATTTTCGACAGTTCAAGATAATCTTTTAATTAATGGAAGAATGAAACAGGCAAATCAGGAATAACTTGATTTACATATCAATCTTTGAAGAATCATGATTAAATTACTCTTTGACATCAATTAATTAATTCCCTTACTATATACAGTTAAGAACAGTAAAACAGAACCCGATTTTAATTAGGCCGGTGATTAATTATCGGAATATATAACAAGATCGATCATCTCACACTAATTAATAACATAATTAAAATTAAATCAGAGGAATTAAAAGTACCTTTTCACTGAGAAAAAGTAACTCTTGTTCATGTTCAGTCTTCCACGATACTACTTGAGCTCCATAAAACAGAATCTACAAATGGATCAAATTCAAAACATTTATCAATCAATACAGTGAAACCCTAACCCCGCACCATTACCGTAATTACTAAAAAAAAAATCAAATTAAAATAAACTGCGTTAATCAATTAATTACGTCGGAGCAAATCGGAGAAATCTGAAAATATATATACCTCGGCGGAGTAGCCACCAGGTTGGCTGAGAATGACGGAACGGCCGCCGCGGTTGTCTGGGGCTGTAAATCTAATCGTAGGACTCCGCACTGGCGGCGGAGGAGCAGCCGTGGACGAAGATACCGATTCCGCTGACATGTTCACTTCCCGATTAAGTGTGTGTGTGTGTGTGTGTGTGTGTGTGTAATGGATGGAAGAAGAAGCACTGGGATGATTTATATAACTGCTACAGATCAGAAAATTGAAAATGGTGCTTCCGCCTTCTTCTTCACACCTTTTATACTAACAGAATCTAATTTGCGCTCTAACTGAAATCAATAGATACAGCTTTTTTCACGTGAAATTACTTCATTACCCCTGTATTCTGTATTCGTGTTCTTGTTTCTGTTAGTTAATTAATTGTAAATTTATTTCTTTTTTCTAATATTTCCGGGACCACAATTTTGGTAAAATTGAACTGATTAAATCTTGATATTTATTTTCTGTATTTCTTTTATTTAGATAGAAAAATTAGGCCATTTTTATATACCAAAAGATATAGATAGACACACAGGCGGTAATACATAATGTATTTATTTATAAGATAAATTACAATCACCCCTGGAGTATGATCAAATTATGAAAAAATCCATAATATTTGGATAATTACAACTATCTCCCTCAATTATAAATATTCTTACACGTCCATCCTTATCGTGTCAAATTCAACATAATCTTCTAGATTATGTGGAATATTCTCTAGTTTGTACTCGTTTTGTGAAAAAAATGCAGTTTCTGATGCACCACAATCTGATATATATAAGCCAAAAAACACATCTTATATTCATCTTATATAAAACGAGTACAAAATTGAGAATATTCTATATAATCTAGAAGATTCCACCAAATTTGACACCGTAAAAATAGACATGTAAAACAATTTATAATTAAGAGGTCTTTTCATAATTTGTTCATACCTCATGTGTGGTTGTAATTTTGCCCTTATTTATAAGTAATCAAAAATACATAGTTCATCTTCCATCAAAAGAAAAATACATAGTTCATCTAAAATGTGTTTCACTATTCATTAATGGTTAAATAAAATCATAAAAAAACCGTATATTATCATTTTCTTTAAATACTGATATACTCTAATATTTTATTGATATTTTATAACAAATAAAATATATAGTATAAATAAACATTTGTCAAAAAGTACTTTATATTAAAATTATTTTACTAATTTTTTAATAGTCAATCAAAATAATAGAAAAAAACATCATATAATTTAGGAGATGATACGAGGAGCTCAATTGCCGTGAAGCCAAATAGTAAGAATCTCACACAAAACCCGAAAGACAACTCATGCTCAATCTTACCTTACCCACTAATTTCGTAATTTCGTCAATGTTAATATTATGTGTCGGTACCTCACTTTTCATTAGGAAAGCAGCTCCGCTTTCTTTTCAACCGCTTACTAAGATAGACTATCACTGCCCTAAGCTAATAGCTTGCTTCTCACCTAGATAGATATAGATGGTAGATGTCACTATATTCGGCTCAATACAGAAACAAAGGCAGAAAGCTTGCAACATGGCATACACCGAGGAAAGGCCCACTTGCGGCAGAGCTAGGAGCGACCGCACGAACAGATTTTCTCCATTTAATTGATTCAGATTGCATGGAGCAAGATAGCTGGCCCTAAGCAGACAAGCACAACTCATAGTAGTCACACCATTTCCAGTGTGATCTGAACAAAGACAGAACAAAGGACCCACCATCCCATCCCACGACATGTATAAATATTAAATATAATCTTGAAGTTCAAGGGAAAGACTACAACCGTATTTCGACACAACAATGTCGATTTTTACCGGAAAGAAATTAGTCTCGATTTTTCAACATTTGTCGATAGCCTGACATTTTTGCGGAAAATATTGATTTTTTTTTTTTTGTAAATTATGCCACTACAATGTTGTTTTTAGTGACATAAATCAACCTGTACACGTCGACTATTTTGTGCGGGATTTTTTTTTTAAAAACGACCACCAAGCTAAGAAAGTACAATATTCCATACCTTATTGTGTTATTCGACCTTCGAATCCTCCATTTTGATGTTTGGTAAGTTCAAAATGTTCTCCTTTACAAGTTTTGGTACGATTTGAGGGCTTTGTGAGCTGATAATTTATGGAGAAGGTGAAATATATTTTTTAGGAGAAAATGTGTGTGATGGCTTTGTGAAGAAGATAGAGTGGGTTTTGTTGGTGCGCTCTTGCACAAACGAATTTGTGGAATTTTGTGATTGTGTATTTTTTTAATTTTAGTAAAGGTATAATAGTCTTTTAATAATTCAATTGGTGGAAGATTAGATATAATCTTTATTTCAAATAGTCGCCGCCTTAATTAGCACAATCCATAACAGAGAATAACAAAATTTTGAGTTGAAATTTGAGGAACTATTGATTATATAACAACAGATGAACCAAAATAACATACTGAAATGCAGCCACATATCACAGCATTTAATTAGGGTTTTTTCACTTGTAATATTTCTAAATCCTCAATATACAGAAACTTATGCCCTGTACAGTTGCTCTCGTCTACAATTGAAAACGGGGTTCTTGTTTTTCCTTACATCTCACGAGCAAGCAGAATCGCGTGTATGGCCAATGAAACTCATTAGAGCTACTACGGCCGTAAGTTCAAAAATCGAAACATCCTCAAATTCAATCCATGTATGTACATTCTCAAGTATTTTTCACATCACATCCTATTTTATGAAATATTACATGTTTAGAAACTGCAAAGTAACAAAACTGCATTCAGTTAATAATATTTCATTAAATCATATCAGAATATTCCTCGGCAGAAAGGCGCTGAGTCGCGGTCCACTCTTCGTTCGGATTCAAAGTGATTTCATTCTCCATAGCAGCTGCCTGAACGCAAACCATCTCCTTATACTCTTCATCTCCTAAATCATCTATTATACTTGCATCAAATTCCCATGGATTCCACACAGCTACAAAATAAATAATATAATGCACGTTTTATTAAATAATTCGTCGCATATAAATACAGACACTAATATTTTTGAACCTTAATTACCAATATCAGGAAGACCAGCATCTTTATGAATGGTAATAACTCTTCTAAGCTCAAGGTCCCTAATACGGATCTCATCGGGAGTGTTCATATATACCCTGTCCACCTAAAACCGAAATTAAAATAAAAAGTGATTATAGTTAATTAATTACACCAAACTTAATATTAATTAAACTTAGGTAGTTAAAATACTCTGTCTTTGAAAGTGATTGCATCAGCCTCTTCAGTGAATTGGTTGTTGTCCACCCCCTCCACATAGTCCCGATAATCCAACGTCTGCAATCCTTCAATCCGAGTTAAACTGGAAAAAGGGATTATTAATTTAGTTAATTCACAGTTGCTATTATATATATATATATATATATATATATATATATATATATATATTTTAAAAACATTAATATGATAGTGTCATTAGTATATATATTAATTTACCGGATATTTGAGACGGAGAAGTAGGTGTGATAGGCGAATTTGAACGTGAAAGGCTCCCCATTAGTGTTGACGTTTTTTATACGAGTTGTCATAGTCAGATCTCCGGTGGGTCCCAGGATAACACGTAAACGGAGCTCTAATCTGCAACGTTAATCAAAACAGAGGAAATATATATGTAGTTTCGATTTTTTATACAGTTGTATGTATATCAAAATTATTAATTAAAGATTAATTGTAAAGTACCTATGGTCAGGCCAGTCTGGGAATTTGTCGGGCGTAAGATTGAGCAAAAAATCAGCGTATGCATTATCGGGTGTTGGAGGGGGAAAGGCTGTATCATGTTTCAAATTCTCGATTCCCCATAATCTGATTCTAGCAAATCCATACTGATCATGCATTTTATTTTTTCTTTTAATTAATCAATATATTTACATACGAAACCGAATAAACGTAATTAGGCAATTGGAGTCGAAACGAACAAAAGAAGCAAATTAACCTTCGGGAAGCAAAATGGGATGCCTCCACGAACCGATTGTGGAGGTTTGTAAATGGCCTGAAAATATAAATATGTTGTTCGTTATTATTTACGAGAGTACTAAAGAAGAAAACATCGATCATTTTCGACATTTCAAGATAATCTTGTAATTAATGGAAGAATGAAACAGGCAAATCAAGAATAATTTGAGATGATTATTAAATGACTCTTTGACATCAAATTATAGAACAATTAAAAAATAATTCTTACGTTAAATAATGTATTGCAACTATAAAATAGAACAAGATTTTTATTAGGTGATTAATTACGGAATTAATAACATAATGTATTGATAATTCGGAAAGTAATATATGTCACAGAAAATTAAAATTAAACGACTGGTAATTAATTAAATCAGAGGAATTAAAAAGTACCTGTTTACTGAGAAAAAGTAACTCTTGTTTATGTTCATTCTTCCACGATACTACTTGAGCTCCATAAAACAGAATCTACAATTGGATCAAAACACAATCAATACAGTGAAACCCTAAGCCCGCACTATTTCCGTAATTAATTACTAAAAAAAATAAAATTAAAATATACTGCGTTAATCAATTAATATATATACCTCGGCGGAGTAGCCACCAGGTTGCCTGAGAATGACGGAACGGCCGCCGCGGTTGTCTCGGCCTGTAAATCTACGCGTAGGCCCCTGCACTGGCGGCGGAGGAGGAGCCGTGGACGAAGATGCCGATTCCGCTGACATGTTCACCACTGCCAATTGCGCAATCACACAGCAGAATGTGTGTGTGTGTGTGTGTGTGTGTGTGTGTGTGTGTGTTTAATGGATGGAAGAAGAAGCAGTGGGATGATTTATGTAACTGCTGCAGATCAGAAAATTGAAAATGGTGTTTTCCGCCTTCTTCTTCACACTTTTTATACTAACGGAATCTAATTTTCGCTCTAACTGAAATCGATAGATACAGCTTTCCGGCGTGAATTTACTTCAATACCCCTGTATTCTCTATTCTTATTTCTTTTAGTTCATTGTAAATTTATTTCCTTTTCTAATATTTCCGGGACCTCAATTTTGTTAAAATTGACATAATTTGATTAATTTTTTTTTTTTGGTATTTCTTTTATTTAGATAGAAAAATAAGGCAATCTTTATGTACCAAAATAGTTGCTAGGCATGTGATCCTTCAGAAAACAGTTGCGTTGATGACTTTGGCTTCCGGTGACCTGAAAAAGAGAAAGCCGGACTGATGCCGGAGTTAGCACTCCGACGATCAAGTCAGTGATAGCGTGATTACTGTATTTCTTTAGGATTTGAGATTTTTTGTATTCCATTAAGTAAAAGAAAAACTCCCTTTATATACCCTTCGACCCGGGACTCGAAGGGCCCGGGAATTCCGCGCTAATTGCAGATGGCAGTCGTCCTTCCCCGAGCGGCCCGGGCGGCCGGGGTCATGATGACTACCCCAATAGGTCTGCTGACCTCGTTCGGTACTTAGCCGTTGAGCCACGCCTGGTCATTCTGCCATAAATGCCACTGTCAGAATATTAAATGCGCCGTCCCGCATTTATGACCCTCCGACCTGTGAAAGCCCCTCGGGAGAGAAACCAGTTCCTCCGTGGATGGGCCCTTATGCCAACGGGTTGGGTGATCCCTTGGGCCGTTGGTACTGAAGAGCCCACCTTTTGATGGGCCTTGATAATTGGGCCCTTGGCCCTGGATCGGGCTAGGATAGTTCGGGTCCGGATCAACTAGTCCCCCGGGTTCTATCTCCGAGTTTAGGACCCGGAGTTTACTCGGTTTTATTTTACCTAACTTGGGCGACGTTCAATCAGCCGCGTCTTTCAAGTTAGCCGCCTGGTCTTCTGCGCCTTTCACACACAATCCTAGGTCCCTACAGCCCACGCGGGGCTCCTCGTTTTCCGTGCGCCATTACTGCCGGCGGCTCTTCGACTTTATACCCTGCTTTATTTTTTGAGAGGCGTCTTCTCTTCCCCACTTCTAATCTTCACACATCCCCTTCACTCTCCCTCTTAACACCCTTCTTCCATTTATCGAGTGACTCCGCCAGGTACATCCTTATCCATTTCCTTTGTTTATACTGCGTTTGCTCCTCCTCTGACTGGTTCGACCATGGTTTCTCAAAACACATCCACTTCCTCTTCTTCGGAGAGGACGGGTTCCGCCGTCCCCTCCCCGGTTCCCCGGCGCGGTCGCCGGCGACCGGCTCCCCGTAAAACGGTAGCTCCTTCCTCCTCTAGGGCGGGGAAGAAGAAAGTAGCGGAGAAACCCACCCACTCCTTGGTCGATAAATTCGACCTTGAGGCCCTTTATGTTACCCAAGGGATGGATCCCTCTTTCCACCTCATTGTGCCTTCCCGTGATCAGACCCCTTCGAACCCCCCTCCGGGGTACCTCACGTGGTATCTCGACCAATTCAAAGCTGGCCTTTCGTTCCCTTTACATCCCTTTTTTGTCGATGTAAGTCGCGTTTATAAAGTTCCTCTTCACTTATTTCACCCCAACGCCATAAAATTCATGTCCTGCTTTTACATTGTCTGTGTGGGTACTGGTGTTGACCCACGCCCCGAGCTCTTCTTTTCCCTATTTACCCACAACCGATCACCCTCAGGCTATTTCCATCTCTCGACCCGAATCGGCCGTCTTTTCGCTGGTCTGGTCACGAAGATCGATTCGTGGCAACGGCGTTTCTTTTTTGCCCGTCCGCCCTCTCCGTGGCCATTCGATCCTTCTCCCCCCGCCAAGTCCCCCAAGCGTGCTGCCTTGGACGTAAATTTCGACGAGGAGACAGCCCGTCTCCTCGCTCGTGTTCGTCCTCGCGCTTGGAATGTGGAGAAGGTCGTTAGCACCACTCCCCTTTTTTCCCGTGCCGGTCTGTGGCGCACCCCCTCCTTCGACCGCCGGCCTTGGGGTATATACCAATTTTGCCTCCCTTATTCATCTTTACTTGTGCAGTGTCCCCCCCCCCCTTTCTCTTTTGTTTTTTGTTTGCAACGAGTATTAACATTTCCGTTTTGTCAGCCGAGATGATGCTTGACATGTTGATGGAGATGGCGGAGGCCGAAAAGAAAAATACCGGAGGTCCGTCAGCACTTCCTCAGGAGACCGGCACTTCCGTTGCTCCCGAGGCATCTCCCCGTGGAGCTGAGCTTCCGTCGCACAGTTCCAACTCTCCCTCTCGCGCCGCACCACCCTTTCCTGACTTGCGGCTGACTGCCCCTGATGTCGTGATCGACCTCTTGGACAGTGAGGCCGAGGCACGCGACCCGGTGGTTTCTCCGGGCGGCGACCCCGGGTTTGAAGAGGCTCAAGGGGAGTCGGCGGGGGCTAGCTCGAAACGACCCCTGCCGAGCGACTCCACCCCGCCGCCCAAGAGAGCCCGTCTTGACTTGCCTTCCCTCTTCTCTGCCGATGACTCCGAGGAGTCTGTGGACTTTGCTCTCCGTCAGCTGGCCAAGGTCCAGGCCGCCGGGGATTCATCCTTTCTGAGCAATCTGCCTCACTCAACCCGCCGTGCAAAGTTGGCTCTTTGTCTGGCTCAGGTATGTATTTACCTTCCTCTTCCTTATTATCTTACCTTATCAATGGTATGCATTATTTAATTTTAATTTATTTATTATTATTATATACATTTTTTTTTTTTTTTTTAAGGCGAGTTCTATCGTGGCTTCGGGTTTTGGTGAAGATGACCCCTCGGTTCATGATCAGGCGATTCGTGAGCTGTCTTCGCAGGCCGCCAATGCTCGGACTGCTCTCGAGCGAGCATCTTCCCGGATATATGCCTTGATGGCCGAGAACGGGTCATTATCCAGGCAGTGCGAGCTTGCCGAGGAGAAGCTTCAGGACGTCCAGTCAAAGTTAAGCGAGACGAAGAGTGCCTTGGAGGGGCAGATTGCGCGGGCGCATGAGGAGAGGGACTCCGTCGTTCGGCAGCTGGAGGCGAAGGAGCAAGCATTTGAAGAAGAACTCTCACGCCGACTCGCTGCTGAACGGGGGAAGTCCCTAGGAGAGCTTTTGGCGACTGCAGAGGGTTTGTCGGTTCTTGACCAGTACCGGGTCAAGTTATTCCAGAGGTACCCGCACACAAAGCTTTTCTTGAAGGATGCATGTCCCATTGGCATGTATTACGTGAAGCAGACCATTGCTGCGTGTGAAACCTTGGCCTCCGAGCAGCAGGCAGTCGTTCGATACGAGCCCACAGCTGTCTTGGGCAAGATTAGCAGGACGTTTCCTTTGTGGAAAGGCGACCCTCGTGAGCCAATCGATTACGCCTGGTGGCAATCCATTACGGACGATCTGATCTCATCAATCGGCTCGTCTTCCGCTCCTCAGCTTCCGGAGCCATTAGTCACCGATCCGGCGGGTGCGGCGTCGTCGGCCACCGCTGGTCCCCACCCAGCTCTTTCTCTGCCACCTATCCCCGCAACTAATCCTGTTTCCGCCTCCTCTGCTCCTCTGTCCGCTCCGTCCGTTGCCGCTGTAGTCGTTCACCGTTCTTCATCTTCTTAATTTTAAACTTTTGAGAAAACTTTCCTTTGTTATTTCCTTTCCTATTACTACTCATTGTATGTTTGAACTATCTTGATTATTCCCGTATTACCTTTTTGTTATGTATGTCTATTATTTACTTCGTGTTTTATCCTGATTATTCCGTATTACCTTTTTCTTTCTTTGACCCGAAGCTCGAGCTCTCGGGTTTTCTATCGGTGAGGTCGAGCTCGATTTCGTTCCGAGGAACATACTTGGAAAATTTTCAATTTTTCCTTAGCGTTCCTCGCGATCGTATATTTCTTTGACCCGGAGCTCGAGCTCTCGGGCTTTCTGTCGGTGAGGTCGAGCTCGATTTCGTTCCGAGGAATATACTTGGAAATTTTTTAATTTTTCCTTAGCGTTCCTCGCGATCATATCTTTCTTTGACCCGGAGCTCGAGCTCTCGGGCTTTCTGTCGGTGAGCTCGAGCTCGATTTCGTTCCGAGGAACATACTTGGAAAATTTTCAATTTTTCCTTAGCGTTCCTCGCGATCGTATCTTTCCTTGACCCGGAGCTCGAGCTCTCGGGCTTTCTGTCGGTGAGCTCGAGCTCGATTTCGTTCCGAGGAACATACTTGGAAAATTTTCAATTTTTCCTTAGCGTTCCTCGCGATCGTATCTTTCCTTGACCCGGAGCTCGAGCTCTCGGGCTTTCTGTCGGTGAGCTCGAGCTCGATTTCGTTCCGAGGAACATACTTGGAAAATTTTCAATTTTTCCTTAGCGTTCCTTTACTTTCATAAGTTCTTAAGAAAGGGAGAGTAGTTCTCATTCATTAGGGGAAACACATCAAAATGAAAAAGGGAAAATATCAAAATGGAAAGTGGAAAGCATGCATCTCTTAGGCGAAATACTTCTTCAAGTGCCCTATGTTCCATGGTCGAGGTAGTTTATCCCCCTCGGCTGTAGCCAGCTCGTACGCTCCTCCTTTTAATATCTTCTTGACAACGTAAGGTCCTTCCCAATTGGGTTCCATTTTCCCGGTGGCTTTCAAAGCGTCCGCCTGCATAAGCACCAGGTCGCCGACTTGGAAATGTCTCTTCCTTACCTTTCTGTCGTAGGCGTTTTTCATTCTCGCCTTACTTGCCTCCATCCTGATCGCAGCTTGCTCTCTTAGCTCCTCTGCTAGGTCCAGGTCCGTTCTCAGCTGTTCTTCGTTATCCACTTCGTTGAAGTTCTTAGTTCGCCTCGAAGGTATTCCAACCTCTAGCGGTATTACTGCCTCTGAGCCATGCACAAGAGAGAAGGGGGACGTCCGGTATGCCCACAGGACCGAGTGTAACTCATCCACCCAATTGCCCTTCGCTCGATCTAGTCGCTTTTTGATTCCTTCGATTATGACTCGGTTCACTACCTCGACTTGGCCATTTGCTTGCGGGT